CTCCCCCCGTCTGCAGGCTTCCTGTGGTGGCTGACAGCGCCTCTGCTTTGGGAGCATATCTACAGAAGGGAGAAGATCACCCCAGCCACTGTGGTCTTGGGTTTCAAAATGAAGCCTTTACAGGGACTCAGACAGATCTTCGTGGCCGATGTTTGTCAGTAGCACTGTTCACAACAGCTGAAAGGCAAAAGCAGCCCGAGTGTCCACTGGCAGGATGATTAAATAAACAAAATGTGGTCTGTCTAGACAGTGGAATAGTATTCAGCCATGAAAGGGAAAAGCACCCTCCCGAGGAAAGGCCTCCGACACGTGAGGCTAAGTGGAAGGAGGCCTTTCCTCCTTCCAGTTCAAAGGACTGACTCATTTACATGAAATTCACTCATTTACATGAAATATCCAGAGCAGGAAAATCCACAATGACAGCATCAGCAGCAGGTGCCACAAGCTGGAGAGGATAGGGACTAAGGGAGGTGGCTCTTGAGGATGATGAAGAGGTCCTAAAAGGGGCATGAGGAGACTAACAACCCCTGAACTGTGCACTTTAAAAGGGGGACTGTGCGGTGTGACTTATATCTGAATAAAACAATGACAAAAACACAAAATCCCATTTACATCAGGACCACCTGGAGTGGTCATTTAAAACGCATTCCCAGCCGGGTGCAGCGGCACAGGCCTGTGACCCTAGCACCTCGGGGAGGCAGAGGCAGGAGGATCGCAAGGTCAAGGTCCGCTTACACAGCCTCTGCCTCAAGAAAAGACTGGGGGCGTGGCTCAATGGCAGAGTGCCCCTGGATTCAATCCCCAGAGCTGCAAAATAGATAAATTATTTAATAAAATAAAATGCATCCTTGGGCTTCCTGAGCTGGAACCTCTGGACCCAGGAGTTGACAGTTCAATTGCAGGTGCTCCGCAAGCACACCGAGAACCGCCTCTCCCAGAAGAGAGACCTGGTCTGCATGAGTTCTCCGTTGCTGCTGTAACAAATCACACCACGTAGTGGCTCCAAACAATACATCTTACAGTTCAGGGATCAGAAATCTGAAATGGATTTCAGTGAACTAAAATCAGGGTGTCAGCAGGGCTAGGTCCCTTCTAGAGGCTTCTGGGGGGGGGATGTTTTCTTGCATTTTCCAGCATTTGGAGGCTCCCAGCCTTCCTTGATAACTGTCCCCTGCCTCCATCTTCAAAGCCACAGATGGCTGGTCAATTGAGACTCTCGCATGATACAAATCTTTTCTTTCATTTTTTTTTTGGGGGGGGGACAGGGTCTCTCTAAGTTGCTGAGGCTGGCCTTGAATTTGGGATCCTCTTGCCTCAGCCTCCTGAGTAGCTGGGATTAAAGGTGTGTGCACCACTCTGACCCTCTTCCTCCCTCTTTCATTGCCAGGACCCTTTTGAGTCATGGGGCTCATCTCCGTAATCCGAGGTCCTCTTCCCGAGCTGATCAGCAACGCTGATTCCATCCGAGACCTGATTTCCCTCTTGCTCGGGAACCTCATGTCGTCACAGGTCCCAGGCACTAGGTGTGGCCTCTCCGGGGACCTCTCTCTGCAGCCTACCCCACGCCCTCCCTCCCGTCTGATGGGCGTAAGATGCTTCTTGCCCACATCCCAGGCAGGGACCCAGTAAAACTTCCCGTACCTGGCGCCCCTTCCCAGGGCCGCTGCACCTCAGTCTGAGAAGAGACGACACTGTCTCCTTGGAGGGCTTCTGTCCCTCTGCCAAGCCTGTCCCCGTGCTGCCTGTAAAGGAATGATGAAGTTAAAATAGATTTTGGGCCCGTGCCACCTCTATCTGCTTCTCTGATAAGTTCTGTTTCTTGGTCAACAATGCGGAGTGGGAAGCCCTTTCAGGGACAAGCTTCCATTTGTCCCTTGTAAGTTCCAGTAACTGGTCACTATTTATAATTCTATAAACCATAGAAAACAGTGCTCAAGCCACGCTCCCCAGAGAGCCCCGGTCTCCTATTTTTAGGTGGCCAGACCTCTCCTCCCAAACACAGGTCCCCGAGGAACCGAGGTCCTGCAGCCTGGGAGGGATCCTGGACAGACAGCCGCAGGGGCCCTCCTCTCAGGCAGCCAAAGGGCGTGACTTTCCCACTCAGGACTGGTTTTCAAGGAAAATGAGCAAGAGCCACCGAAGCCCCCCTGCTAAGATCATGTCCCAGGACCCACGGGGCTTAAGGGGAAGGGGGTGCTGGACAGAGATTCAGGTCTGAGCTCCGTTTCTTTGTTTCACTAGGAATCAGGGGAGGAGGGGTGGAGGCTGGCTGTAAAGTCTTGGGTATCTTTCCCCAGGGAAGGAGGGGGCGTGCTCCGGGCCAGTCATTTCACCCACCGACCGTCAACGTGGCGCTGTGATACCCTATCTACAGATGAGGGTGTCAAGGTTGGGAGGGGCAATGGACCCAACCCGAGGGCAGAGCCCCGTTCCACCCAGATCGGAATGCTTCTCCCTCCACCCTCCACCCCCCACCGTATGCTGTCACCCCGGTGAGCTGAAAAGATCGGGGCACCTCAGAGGAAGAAGGACGAATGCAAATTGGGTGTGATCCTTCTCTGGTTGCAAATGACACTAAAGCCAAGAAGCCAAGGCACATAAAGCCATCAAAGGAGCCTGAACAAATCCTCCCCCAAGACTGTGCCAGATCCCAGGTGCAGGCCACCTGCAAGGTCTCCCGCCCTGGATGCATTTTGCAAGAGCGTCACTCATCGCTGCCTGTTTGATGTGGTTTAGGTTTTATACAAGGAGGGGGAGTCCCTGTAAATTCCTGGGAGTCAGTGGCCTGAGGATTAGGAACAAGTGCCACTCCTAGACTATTAACAAGCCGTGGGAGTATGCCAAGTCATGAGAAGGGACAGGTGAGCCGTAGACACGGCTGCTTAGACAGCTCCAGGTCTGCACTCTGATTTGGGCTCAGCGCATTCTGAACTCTGGCTTTCCCATCCACCAAATGGGGATGTGTCAGGTGTCTGTCCCCTAGGCTGCTAGGACGTCACATCTCTGTCCTTCTGACATCAGAAGGGACTAACTGCTTCACCATTGTGCCCAAACTCCTGGCACTCAGGAGTGAGATCATGGATGAACGAATAAATGAATGAATGCATGGAGAACACCAGTCTTCTGGAGATGGCTGGAGCTCCGAGAACAGACTGTTACTTACTAGGGAATTCTGCAAGCCCGCTGTTATACTATAGGTGCCTTGAACTCGACCTTGCAGGAGTATTTACAACATGGAAATTGGCAAATCCTACCCACCAGGACTTCCTTTCCTCCTGCCTTCTCAGAGAGCAAGCAGAACACTGGCTAGGACCCGGGCAAGCCCTGTGTGCAGCATTCTGCAAACAGGAATCCCCGAGGCCACGGGGTGAGGAAGGCGCAGGTGGGAATGTCCTTTCACAGGTGGGAAAGCTGAGGCCCTGGGAGGTTACGGCATTGCCCACGAATGGTTCAGTGGCAGAGCAGAAGGAAGACCGCCCTCGCTGTCTTCTTGGTGGCCACTGTGGTGTCACAGGTACCAGCCACGTGAATCCCGCTGGTGCAGGAAAGAGCATTATATATTTTCAGCCATGGCTTTAATCAGCTCCTGCAGGAGGGTGGTCCTCCGGGACAAGAGAGGCAGTTGCCTGGTGACTAAAGTGCCTCCCTGTCCTGGAAGGTCACCCTGGGGTAAGGGAGGGTGCCGCTCACCCCCCTGAGGCGGGCCTCCCCCAGGGGCTCCGGGCCCCCAATCCAATCAGCCCGCAGCGGCCTCCTAGAGCAGCAGACCCCGCTGGGTCTTGCTGGTAGGACTGAGTGACAGCGTCATGTTCTAGAACAGGGCGCAGGGCTCTGTGTGCAGGGAGACCCACCCTGTGTGCTCGTCACTGCCAGAGCGGGAGGGCAGAGCTGAGGGTGGGAGCCACCGCAGGGGCCAGGCACCTCGCAGAGCGTGTATTCACCTTGTTTGTGGCTTTGGCGGGTCCCTTCTGGGTCAATCGTGGACTCCCTGCAGCTCAATTCAAGGAATGACAGAAGCTCTCCAGGGGCCACTCTAGCGTGGACACTCCAGGTCTCTGAGGCCCTGCCACGCCCACACCAGCCCTTGCTCACTGTCTGCACCGTCTTGTGTCCCCCTCCACCAGGCAGGAGTGAGTGCTTCTCTGGGACCAAACGGTGGCCAGCCAGCAGTGTAGACAGGGATGGAGTCAACACGGATTCCAGGTACCGCTCTGCCCCCCGCAAGGCAACCCGGGGAAGGTGGATCTTGCGGCTCCAGCAGGTCTCCATTCAGGAACACATGGGTGGCTCTGAAAGGCTCCCTGGTCTGCAGGAAAGGGCTGCTGAGACCCTGCCTAGGACCCTGTGAAGCCATGGAGCTGGGTCCACTCAAGTCCCGGTCTGGCAGCAGGACAGAACTGATGCCCTGACCCTGCACTTTCCCCCGAGCCTGGCCCGCAGCACAGACGCCACATACCCAACAACCTTTGGTGGCCATGTCAACAAGGACGGCAGAGTGCACTGACCTGACCTCCACAGGAAAGTCTTGCCGTGGCCCTGTGACCTCCCTGAGCACCAGCTCCTCTTCCCTTGCCAAGCAGATACGATCCCACAGGACCACCAGCCGCAGTCACCTTGTGCCATGTCCACCCAGGCCCTTTGGTGGACAACACATGAACTGACTCCCATTTTAAGGAGGAGGAATCAGGGTCAGATAGGCGGCAGGGCCGACAGGTGTCACCCTGCCCAAATGCAGAGCCAAAGCCTTAAGCTGTCTTAACCCAGAAACTTCCCGCGGTGGCCACG